GTAACACACCTGTAACACTAACACACACTTGCAAAACACCTGTAACACACACCTGTAACACTAACACACTCCTGTAAAACAAGCCTATAGCACACTCCTGTAACATACATGTAAAACACCTGTAAAGTGCCTTACCCACTCCTGTAAATGACTCTTATTTTACAGGCATGTCACAGTTTTGTGACATAGTTCAGTAACACAGTGTCACTTGTAACTAGGGCTTTAACAGACTACTCGAGTAATCGACGGGTCGATTCCTAGGACATCTATTGAGTTTTTAAATTTCATATCGAGTATTCGCAGTGACGTCATTACGTCGCAGTTACGTCATTGCGTCACGTGATCCGCACCGGGCTACTAGTAGAAGCTACCAAATGAATTCCTCCCAGCAGATGGACTGAGCGGAGCAGGCCCAGTCTTGGCAAACGGGTAGAAATGCATCAATAATATGAAAATATTTCACTAAAGATGAATCTTCCGGTTCAACTACCGTAAGGAAACAGAAAATGAATCAACTTCCTGACTGTTTGGAGCTCGTTGCGAACCGGTGTTATACCATTTTCTGTGACCACCGTATATTGTGACCATAGGGGGCGGTGTTGCAGGTTACAGAATATGGTGCAACACCGGGTCCAATGACTGAAACAGCTTCCTCTGACCTTGTTTCACAAACTAAAAGCAAAAAAATATTAATCTTTAAACCTATAAAAAAAAATCTATAAACGTATTAATCTCTAAAACTAAACCTAATGCGCACCACAGCTGGCGGTGGAACGGGGTGGTCGTCCGCCCCACTGTTTTTTGGTTTCGTTTTTGACGTGCTGCATGTTTCTTCACTTTTGCAGCTTAATAATAATAACTAACAGTTTAGTTTTTCCTGTGACTTATTTGCAGTATGATAAATGGTAGGAGCATAATATACGCTTTGTTGGTCTTTTTTTGTAAATAATAACTGACTTTTTTGCGGTTTTATTTTTTATTTATTTGTTTTTTCTTCTTGAGATCCTATGACATCATCAACTACTCGGGTTCTACTTGAATTTTATTATGTTACTGTTGAGTTTAAAAATTATGTAGTCGTTCAATCCCTACTTGTAACACACATTTGTAACATGCTATGAATCAGCTTGGGATTTTACTTTTAATCATGTAGATTAAGGTTGTTTACAATTTGTCATATTGTACATAAACATTGTAAAGACCTAAAAAAAAACTGAGTGACCTGACCACCAGACCCTTATGCATATCGTTTAAAGTTATTTTATTTTTTATTATGCCTTATATTTTTTGCAAAGTGACTGTTTGAGGCTTAAACGTGTTTATATACACAAGAACTAAAAAAAAAAAAAGTTTAACTCAAGGTTCTATAAATAAAAGCAAAGTTTATTCTAGCTAGAAAATTTTACACTTAGAGGAAAAAACTCACGCGCGGAACTTCTGGAATGTCCTCGTAGATGGAACGTCAATTTTTCCACTTTCTCGCATTAACCACACCTGGTTCATATTTTTGACTAGTCACAGAGTAGCTGTTGGAAACCACACAAGAAGAAAGTTTTGCCTGAATTATTAAGAACAAGCTGCACTAACTCACATCAGGGTTGAGAGACCAAAATGTTGTTCTCTTGCAGCTGAGGCTGCTGAACGTATCAGCCTACCAGGAGTTGAATAACCTTACTTGACTGACTGGACGTGCTAGTCCTGCGAGTTGATGCATTTGGCAGCCTCTGCATTAACAGCCTTTCTGAGGCCTGCACACACACATTGTTGTGGTAACATGAATGTTGTTCAGTTAAGAAAAAGTGTAAACTAATGGTGTCATGCACAAAGTGCAGAGGGTTAATATTAGTTCATGTAGCGTTCTTTCATAGCGCCATGTCATTTTTGATACGCTGTTTTATAAGCTTGAAAAATAATTGATAAGCTAGCACTGGTTTGGCTAGCTCCAAACTTTGATCTGTGGCTGATGTCATGGCTGAAAAGATAAGATACAGTATGATAACTATTTGACAGATCTGCACTTAAGAAAATACTAGACTATCCATACTACTACTAACTTTAGTATCAACTGCTGGGTTAAGTGCATTTTGTTGGCTAAATATGTCGTGAACCACTAGGCAGGTTTTATTGATACTCTTAAAGTAATCATTGGATTCTCAACTGATAAACTTGACTAAGCTGGATATTATGCACCAAGAGGCAGGCCCATCATAATGTCTAATTCTGTTTCTGCCATAATTTTGTTCTCAGCACTCCTACAGCTTTATAAAAACCCAAATAAAAATCTATAAAATTGTGCGTATTGATCAGGAATTCTGAACACTGACTTTGGAAGCAGAACATTGTATGACAAATATGAAATTGACTAGAAAATAAACTGATTTGGTTTAAGTGAATAGTAAAACTCAGCACTCTACATAATATTGAACAGTCAGTGTGATTGTTAGGTTTTTGGCTGAGTTGACTTTCAACACTTTTGCAAACAAACTCTTCTTACGCCCATAAACCTTGTACTACTTATGCAGTTTATTCATGAAAACATCAATATTTTCCTTGCTGCTATGGAACATTTTTATCAAAAAAGGTCAAATGATTAAATTCCTAATTAAGAGACCATATCCTAAATAATCCAGATTATCAACCAAACTTTTGTTTCTTTCAGACACAAGGACTCGGGCGTCACCCAAGGTAATGAAACCTTTATCACTAAAGTACCTCAGCCATCATCATCATAACAAACAGGAAGCCCGAGCCTCCACCAAAACTGTTTTATAAACATTTCAAACATTTTCTCAGTTCCTCACATTTTACTTGTTGTTTCTGAGGCCACATGTGTCATTGTTTGTGTTACATGTCATGATGTTTGTCTCAAACCAGCCAAAATGTCAACACGGGAGAAAAACAGCCAAGCTGGTAAGTCATAATGGGAATGCTAACATGCTAACAGCAGCTTTAGGGCACTTCCTGGTTCTGGACCATTCACATTTCTCTTGCTTTCCATCAGAAGCCCTATGCTTTCTCTTTTTCAGACTGCTTGGTGATGTAAAGTTTGCTTTTGGCTGCTCCGCATGATGTTTACCTTCGTATATGATTAAACAGCGAGTGTTTGTCTAATCAGCTCGATTAAATGGTGAAAATATAAAGATTCATTAAACTTCTTGTTTGTGTACTTGAAACAAGTAAACCAGTTACAGACAAGCATTTAAACAAAGAGGAGAGAGACAAAAAGAAAGCACTAAATAAAATGAGAGCATCCATTTTTTTTGTTTAGCTCCCATGTTTGTAACGAGTGGGAAGAAGTACGTACTGATTTAGTCCCATCCCTTCTCCCTTCATTATCAGTTAATACTTTGCTATTTCCCTATTAATACAAACGCCAATGGCAATATTGGGCATCTTTATAATGGATACAAGTTCTAAATACAGGTTCTCAACATAACATTATATTTTTACACATCTTTATACTTAATGAAAATCCTTTATGTATACAGTAATCCCTTGTTTATCACAGAGGATTTGTACCCTGAAGACCCACGATAAGTGAAAAACCGCGAAGTTGGACTAGTAGTACAATTTGCACATTTGATGTGTACATCCCGGTCACCGTTGAACTGAGCGCACATGAGAAGCACCTTCTTTTAAATATTCAAATAGATGCAAATATTCTCTACATTTGTCACTCTTTGAGCAGTAGAGTTCCTACATGCAAAGAAAAAGACCCTAAAGAAACATTTTTTGGAGACATTCCTATGTAGTGTAGCAAGACGAATAAAACATTGTTTAGCCCGCAGTCCTCAGGCATTAGCACCGAGCGCTAGAGCAGCTCACAGACACAGGAATGGAAGCCTGCCCATAACCTTTGCTGCCCAATATCGTTAGATACTACATAAAGAATTACACACTATTACTGTAAACAAACACAGAAAACTGGAAGTGCTGCTGCTTCTGTTTAGGTTGAAAGAGAAAGATCTTTAACTTTGAACTCTATAATCAAGAGGTTTGTTTAGTTCCATGTCCCAGAATGTGCAAATAACTTAATCAAATGTAATATGTATGACATATTCTGTTATACACAAAATGCTGATTGATTAAATTTTATAATTGTTTAATGGATGCCTCAATAACTCGAGCAAGATTTGAAAAATGTGTAGTCCAGTACTTCGTCATCTCCTTCATGTTGAACAATCCTTCATTCTGTAAGTTTTCTGCAGTCCAGCTGCAGCTTCTCTGTGGCACACAGCAGCAAATATGACTTACAAGTGCATTTAATTCTCCAAGCGTATTATTACACTGTTTTTTGTGCTGAATTCATTGAAGTAAAATAAAATAAAATTCTGGTCAAACATGAAATTTTTTACTTAAAATCTGAGTCTTTATCCTACATATTTATATTTATTATTCATTAATTCAACCTTTATTTATAGAGTTTAATCCCATTGAACCTCGGGGACTCATTTACAAGAGAGACCTGAATTATATTGGATGAATAAATAAAAGTGCGTCCCTTTAATAAAAACAGGTTGTGGTTATATTTGACAATTAGCATGCTGACACTCAATCACCTCCTAAATGTGGGACAATGGCTGATTTAGGATTATGGGAGAATATTAAGCCTGTATTTATTTTAATGATCCAGCACCAGAAAATATTCTGATGTCATAATATCAATGTTGTAGATGGTAAATGGACTGTACTTATACAGTGCCTTTCTATCTTATTTCAAGATACTCAGAGCACTTTACACTACAATATGTGCCTCATTTACCCATCCACACAGCACTCTACTAGATCTCTACAAAGCTAATTGAACAAATTCTAATGAGACTAATCAGTGCTTTATCACATTCATACACTGATGGGACACACATCAGAGGCTATGAGGGGTTCAGTGTCTTGCCCAGGGACACTTCAGCATGTGACTGCTGGTGGATTCGAACCCCCAACTCTCGCATTGGAGGACGACTGCTCTAACCACTCAGCCACAGCTGCCCCGATGGATGGATGGATGGATGGATAGAGAGAAGGGGAGGGAGGGATGCATGCATGCCAGCAAGCAAGAAGGAAGGAAATTAGATCTTATAAATTTGTGTGTATGATTTTTCTATCTGGGATATCATTAAAACTTTAAATAAGATAGTTAAAGCAAACCGTTACCATGGTGATCTAACTGCACTCAAACAAATCTTCTTTTACAATGCTGAAAGTTCTGACTTCAAACGTATCATAGCTGTCCAAGCAGGAAATCTCTGTTCATAGTACAGCCCTCAGGTGTGTCCAAGATTTGATTTTCACATATTAAAGTTTCCCAGCATGTCGCCAACAGACCAGTACCTGTAGAGACGTTCTTATGCCAGCTACGAAGTTGGCGATGGGCTGTGCATGTTTCCACAGGCAGTTCATTATCACTTGAATCTTTGTGTGAAAACGGCCTCTTTTTGTGTACCATCTGCTCTGCATAAGACTCCTGGTGTTTCTGTCTAAGCTGCTTCACTTGCATCGTCTTCTCTTGATGTTTGACAATTTACTGCTCTCTGCTGCACCCCTGCCTGCTCGACACAGCTTCTTCCACAATGCTGTTTGACACCAATCTGTTGGAAGTCTTACCCCAGTTTGCAGTCATAGACAAAAGAAAGTCCACCATCCTTTAGTTCTAGGGTCTTCCATATCTTGACTTAACAAAACTTATCTTGTCTTCGCCATTTTCTAAACGTACAAATCTAACCTCAAGTGAAGAAAAGCACAACAGATTCCATCCTGTCATGTTTTATTAAATAAAAACTGGGTCCAGCAGCTTGTTACCAACAGTAACATGGCTGCAGAAAAATCCTGTTCATTGAAGTTTGCAGACATTGTTTCTACTCAGACCTTTGAACGTCCCACCACACCATTTCAGCCAGGTTCAGGTTTTGGACTTTGACTGGACCATTGCAGCACCTTGATTCTTTTCTTTTTGAGCCATTGTGTTGTAGATTAGCTGCCGTTTGCGATCACGGTGCTGCTGCGTCATCACTCAGTGTTGTCCAAGCTTCAGCTGTCTCACAGATGGCCTCACATTTGACTAGAACCTTGATCAACTCAATGACTACAAGGTGCCCAAACCATTAACCCTCCACTGTTGGTATGAGGTGTTTACTGCTGTGCAGTTTGGTTAAACATCTGTATTTGCTCTTGGCTTGGTCCAGAGTTCTGGTGTTTCTGACAGATCAAACTTTACAAACCTAAGTTGTGCTGATTCAGTCTTTTTCTAAATGTCCTGTCACGAGCTTTAACCTGCTGACTGAGGCCTGTAGAGTCTGAGGTGGAGCTCATTTCTCTTGAGCGTTGCAAGATCTTACCTTCAGGGGGAGATTAGCTGGGACGTCTACTCGAACAAAGATTGGCAGCTGTCTTAAATGTTTTCAACTGTGGATTATCTTTCTGTGGAATGATGCTAGTGATGACGCTAGAATGCTAATGATGCTCCCTCCACAGACTGATGCACAGCAACAGTTGCTAGTTGCTAACAGTTAATAGTTCAAACAGACCAGCGTGAGACGTGTCCCTGAGAATGTTATAAGCATTTTTTCAGCCCCAAATTATTTGATCAACAGTTCCTGGCTGAGCCTCTGAAATCCAGATGAAGCAGCAAAGCTGGAACCAGTTTTTCACTCCGTTTTAACATTTTGTTTAAAAGAGAACGACGGGGTGCAATCTGTTGTGCTTTTCATCTGAGTTTAGATTTGAGTCACTTTACAATCAGTTATGTGGAAAACCACTGAACTGAAAGAGTGTGGGTTTTGTTTTTACCAGGGTTGTAGCACAGATTGAACTGCATCGTTTTTAAACACGTGTTTCTGATGAGAATCACCTTAATCTTACTCTAAATAATAAACGGTCTATTAACATTTCTTGTTTTCTTTGTTGCTAAAACACTTTTTAAAACCAAAGGAGTTGGAAGGACCTTTTTTAACAAGTTCTTCCTGTTGTTTCAGAGGGAAACTCCATCAAGATGTTCATGCGTGGTCGACCCATCACCATGTTCATCCCCTCAGATGTGGAGAACTACGATGATGTTCGAATAGAACTTCCTCCAGAGAGACTCAAGCTAGAATGGGTGTATCCTTTAAAAAGATGAACCTCTAATGTGACGCGTCCAACAGATTGTATAAAACTGCCGAGACATACAACTGAACCGCTGAAGGCTTTTAGGAGATCCAACAAGATTTATTTTGTTTTTGGTGATGTCAAAGTGCTTCCTTCATTTTACAGGTTTTAATGTGCATTTTAAATTAGGAGATCCTTGGCAGCTCTTCAGGAAACCTTCACTTGATCTTATTATTCTTCACTGATTTCAACAAGCTTAATTAGATCTTTATTCTAACTAGAGAAATTGCATTTCCTGTAAATATACAGTGTGCATGCTTATTGCTGAATGATTTTTGCTGAAAGCTGCTGAAATGTTAAAGTTAAATTCAAACAGCTGACATTTGCTGAAAGTATAAAAGAAAAATCCAAAAGCAGCAGAAAAATGGCAGAAATTTGAAGAAAAAGCCAAATAGAGCAGATGTGTTGCAGAATTAGCAGAATAAGCTAAAATAGGCAGAGGCTGAATAGACTAAATTAGCACAAACAAAAAGTGGCTGAAAAGGCTTAAAAAAAGCTCAAATTAGCAGAAAGATGCTAAAAGGAGCATATAAAGGTGATATTAGAAAGAAGCACAAAATTAGGGAGGGGGGGGGGGGCAATAAATAATCTATAATTAGCTAAATAAATCCCTAAATTAAAGCTGAATTTAGCAGAAAGAAGCTGATGGAAATTGAACCAGAACAAAAGCTGAAATGCGCAGAGCTCAAAGGGTTTGAAGGATTTAACGTGTTGTTTTTTTATGAGCCAGATGTCAAAGACAAATCTCCCATTTCATTGAATGTTATGGACAAAAAATTTATATTGAACTGAACTGAAGAGAGCTCCATTCATGTTCATTGAAGGGAAATATGGCTGAAAAAGCTAAACACTGCTAAAAGTTGAGATTGCACAAAAAACAAAAGTGAGGGCAGGAATGTCCTGAATGAGCTGAACATTTTTATGAAATAGACAAAAATTGCAGGAGTTACGTGCTGAAAAACACATGGAAGGAAAATGGATCTCGATTCAACTAGAGCCTCAGATCTCATTAGAACCAACAAGTGATGCGAGATCCTCAAGTCTCTGTAGAACCACAGCTGAGATTAGAAAAGCTTCAGATCCTAGAAATGTAGATCTTGGATCTCAGTGCTCCTTTGAACCTCAGTAAATTTGAGGAAATCCACGATCAACAAAACCTTAGTAGATCCCTTTAGTTGAAAAGCAAACCTGAGAGGTTCTCAGTCAGTTTGAGTTGATCTCACCAGAACCTACAGTAGAAACCAGAGGAACCACAGCTGAGTGTTGGTAGATCTCGGCAATGTTGTGCAGGTGTTTCCTTGACAGCGTGCAGGTATGGTTACCGCGGCAGGGACTGCAGGGCGAACGTCTACCTCCTTCCAACTGGAGAGATCGTTTACTTCATTGCATCGGTTGTGGTTCTGTTTAATTACGAGGAGCGGACTCAGAGACACTACCTTGGACACACCGACTGCATCAAGTGGTGAGAACCTCTTAAAATCATTTGTTTCTCTGTTTTTGGCTCCTTTTTGGTGACACTGACATATTTGTTGTGTCCATCAGTCTGGCCATCCATCCTGATAAGATCCGCATCGCTACAGGTCAGATCGCAGGAGTCGACAAAGATGGCCGAGTGAGTACAAACATCAGGCAGAACCAGATCTACACAAACGACAAATTTGTTCTGGTGATTTGGCGCACAAAGGTTCTCACACCAAAACAGACAATGGTTCACACATTTCTGAAGAAATTAACAAACAAATGCAAAATATGCATATAATATATGAACAGAACTTTTGTGGGACTGATTATAATTGTTTTTGTTGCGGGAGACTGGTTAGTGAAACAGCTGAAGGAGAAAGAACTGCTTCAGGTACTGGTTCTCATGGTCTGGTTTGTGTCAAGTTGCTCTAAAGTTTATTTCCAGGGTCTGTGGGGTCAGTAGATATTATTCTGGCCCAGCTCAAAGGTTCTAGTGGTGAACAGATCCTGAAAAGATGGCAGCTTTCAGCCGACCATCAGGAGAAACTGATCAAAAATCGTGATGGAAGCAGAAGAACCGTCAAATGGTAACAAAAGGTGTCTCCATACATACCGTATTTTCCACCGTAAACATTGCACCACCCTATAAGTGGCATCAGTCCAAATATGTCTCAAGTGGAAAAATCTATAACTACGTCACTTTGCCGTATATGTCACATGTATTATGAGTCATCGCTGGCAAACCGGATATGTGGGCCGGTGTTGTGCCAAAAATCAATTGGCTGCCAAATGACAGCCACGGGGGCGTGCACAGCGAAATGAAGCTGATTTGACAGTTACTCAAGGCAGATGACAGGGGCAGGCTGTGGCAAGCTGATTGTGTCATTAATAGCCACTTTTACCTATTACATGACATAACGGCATGCTATACTACTCAAGTGCCATCTAGTGGCTGAAAATGGTAGTGTTCATTTTTTTCAGTCAGATTGAATGAAAACAGTCATATCTCAGCCAAAAATTGGTTTATAAATATGAGAAAAACATCCATAGATATTTCGCTTCGGCGTATAAGTTGCAGGGCATGCAATTTATGCAAAAAACTGACTTATAGGCTGAAAAATACGGTAAGTATGGACGCACCTTTATCTACAAGTATTCTCAAAGAAACACGTAATTTATACATGTAGAGTTATTTTCCTTCCATGGCAGCATGTACAGTGGTGGAAATAATTATTTGATTCCCTACTAATTTTACAAGTTTTCTCACCTGAAAGGAATTAACAGTCAAAATTGAGCTTATTGTAATTTACGATGCGTAGTTATTTCTAACGACCCTCCACCTCTACAACTGAATCATTGATCACAACTGAGGAGGTGGAAAATTGGTTCTTCCTAAAATCAATAACTGTCTCTTTAGATGTAGATGCATTTATGTTCAAGTGGGATACTCTGCACCATTCAGTGAAATGAGCCGCTGTGGGACTGTGGTCTGTCACCAGCCCTGAACAGTGACCGTCTGAAGTTTGTCAGACATGAAGTGATTCAGAAAATGGTTCACTTGTCATCAATCCAACCTGACATGTTTGGATGAGGATTGATGTGGAGTAGGACCTGTAGAAGTACAACCCCACAGTCAAACACAGAGTGGAAAATGATTTGGGACTGTTTTCTGCTAAGAGTAAGGGGGCGACTTAACCCCATTGTGAGACCAATGGATGAGACAACGTAACATAAAATTTTGGACCAGGACCGTCTTCCTCAGCCAGAACTCTCACAATAGTTTGTGGACGGGTTATCTAGCTGGAAAATGACCCAAAACATACAATCAGGGCAACAAAATGGTGTCTAGAAGAAACTAGTTAAGGTTGTGGAGTGGACGAGCCAGTCTCCAGAACTCCGTCCTGTATCAAAATCTGTGAAGGAGCTGAAGCTCTGAGTCTTCAAGCAGCAACCAAGAAACCTAAAGAAGTTAGTTTGTAAAGATGAGTGGGCCAGAATTCTTCCTGAGATATGCAGACCTGGAAAACTACAAGAAACTTAAAGGATGTAGAGTTTCTGTAAAGTGGAGGGGGATACAATGCCACCCAAGATGTGTTCAAACTTGACACCAACTATAAGAAACATCAACAAAGATGTCTTCATCAAAACCAATGTCTTCTTCTGCTCAAGGATTTAATAAAGATTTCACTCAGTGACATTCAAATCTATTTATCTTTTCTGAAATGTTTATTTTTCCTCTGGATTTTAGTTTGTATTTGTTTTTGTTTTTTTAATTTAAATGAAACCACCATGATGATGGCCGTTACCATAGTAACTACAGACATGGGGATGTCTGTCACCATGGTAATGGTTGACATGATTGCTTTTGCCATGTCAACTACATGTATGATAGCTGCGATAAATACTGACATTATGATGCTCGTTACCGTGGTAACAGCCTACAGAGACTAAACTGGTTCTGTTGGTCGTGTTCAGGCGCTGCAGCCACACGTTCGTGTCTGGGACAGTGTCAGTCTGTCCACTCTGCAGGTCATCGGTTTGGGGACATTCGAACGTGGTGTCGGCTCTCTGGCTTTCTCTAAAGCTGTAAGTGTTTCTCCAGTGCCTCAGGTCACTCTAGTCCCTGAACAGAAAAGGACTTCTGACATACCTTGTCACGTCTGATGCTTGTTTTGCAGGACTCTGGTCAGCACCTGAGTGTGATCGATGACTGTAACGATCACATGTTGACGGTGTGGAATTGGCAGAAGAAGTCAAAGATTGCTGAGATCAAGGTGAACACAAACCATTTGTCACGTCTGATGATGAAGTAAATGTTAACCCTGGTTTTAACTGTTCTCTGATGATCTGACAGACCACCAATGAGGTGGTCCTGGCTGTGGAGTTCCACCCCACCGATCCAAACCTCATTATTACCTGTGGAAAGTCCCACATCTTCTTCTGGACTTGGAATGGGAATTCTCTTGTCCGAAAAAAGGGATTACTTGGGGTAAGAATGACGACTGTTTTATCTGTTTCCATGGGAACTTGTAATGAACCTAAGAACACGGGATTATTAAGGAACTCTGGAATCCTAAACCAGAAGGTAGGGCTGGACAATAATTTGATATCGATCTATGTCACAATATACTTTTATTCAGTAGCGGTGAAATGAGTTTTAAGCACATTTTAGATATTTTGATATGATTACAGCGTTTCACTAACGCATTTCGTTTTCTGTTCGGGTTGAAGCGGTCACTTCAGTTTCAACGCAAATAGAAAAAGGTGGACGTTAATTTATTTGTACAGTTTGTACAGTTTTTCTGAGGCTTTTATATTGTTTATATCGATATCAAATTATATCATTGACCGACATTAAGAAATATATCACGATAAAAGTTTTGGCCATATCGTCCATTCCTAAACCAGAAGGAGGTGAGGGCAGGTCGGTGCAGATCATGGCCAGGCTTCGTCCCTCTTTCCTAACTCTAACACCTGCCCACACTTTGAGGCAGCTGTGGCTTGATGTGCTGCATCGATGTATAAATGTCATCTGAAGCTCTACAGAATAATTTGTTTTAAATTATCTTTGTAGAGATGTTGTGGAGTGCTGTGTAAATGTGTTTGTGGAGGTGAATGAGGACACAGATTGTGTTGTAAAGAGCTTTGAGTTGCCTGGTTTGCTAAAAAGGAGCTACCATTTACCATTTAAAGAACAACTGGTTATCTCCCTCCTTTTTGTTGTTAAACCAATGTTAACATTGAATATATGAGAAAAATATATATTTTAGACACATCAATTAGTGGGAAAACTTGTTTTCAATAAAAAGACTAGTTTTGTATCTTTCTCCACTTTCCTTTGAAGCCTTAATGGTTCCATTCATCCCCATCATGTGGGGTTGATCAGCAGGGACTGGGGTGCAGGAACGTACTGGTCACAGTTGAAGTGAGGTTGGATGGAGGTAAATATGAAGAAATTCTTGAGAGGAACTTGTTTGACTCTTCCAGAGATGTGAGACTGGGATGGTTTCCAACAAGTCAACTTGAGGAATTTCTGCAAACGCCTTCCTTAGAACGTTCAAATCTGGCATGGGTACAAACTTTACCCTCTGGTCTTTCCCAGAATCTGTCGCGTTTGTTCTGGCTGTGCCGTCATTCAGTATTTTTGTACTATGTTTTGTAATTTACTCAAAATATTCCCAGTTGTTTGGCTTCTGGCAAAGTGAGAAAATGAATCCACACAGTTCATCATTCATTTGCTGAACGTCCAGCTCAAATTTCACATTAACATACGCTTTTAAAGAAAAAGACAATTCATTGGTTTTCTGACTGAGTTTAACACTAAAACTTACTTTAAGCACTATTTATTACACTTTTCCTTTAATGAACAAACAAAACACCACAACAATCTGCTTGGCTTGTCACATGTTTTACTGTGACATGGTTGTTTAGTTTGATATATATAATTTGATGTTTGTTGTTCACTACAGTCTTGGGGCGGGGGGGGGGGGGGGGGACTTGAGGAAGTTCAGCTGTGGACCAACAGGAAGCTCCACCTCATGTAAAACAAAGGAACTGAGTCAAAGATCCAAATTTTATGAACACATCTCAGTCTGAGCAGTTTTCAGTTAGACTGTTTCAGATCAGTCTGTGTGGTTAGTCCAACTGGAAAGACTGAGTCCAGGATCATGACCGCCCTGGTCTGACTCTAGTGCCAGTCTAACTCTGGTCCCAGTCTGTTTCTAGTCCTAATCTAACCCTGGTCCCATTGTGCTTCTCCTGCCAGTCTAACTGTGGTCCTGTGTTGTTGTTCTCTTTGCAGAACTGTGATAAGACGAAGTTTATCCAGTGTTTGGTCTTCCTGAGCACTGGAGACATCCTAACTGGAGACTCTAGAGGTGACCTGCTGGTTTGGTCCAGGAGCTCAGCAGAGACCGCACCTGGAAAAGGACCAAGAGGTGGGGATCTGGTTTTTGAAATTTGAAATGTGCTCATTTTCAACGTGAAGAATACGTTTTTGAATATTTGTCAACCCATCCGTCCGTCGGTCTGAAGTTTACTCCAGTTATAAACACAAACACTGCCTTCAGTTTGTTCAAGCTCTGACATTTCCACTCTGACCTGCAGCATTAGTCAGCAGCCAGGTTTGTCTTTTTTATTTTATTTTATTTTTCTAGCAGTTTCAATCTTTGAACCTTTGACAGTTTATGTATCAGACCTTTTTAATGATTTCCAGCTCAGGAGCTCAACTCTTCATGCCCATGGGGCAAATTGAAATGGTTGTGACTTGCAGAAATAAAGACATTAAATCCAGAGCAGAGCTCTGTTTCAACTAGTCTGTTTGAGCTCGGATCAGTTCGTTTCTGTTGGGGAAAAACCACAGCTGCAAGTGCATTGGCCCAGTTTCACTAATGGTTTATATGTCACGTTGTTCAACAGGTTTTACTGGAGCAATGCCAAAAACTAAATGATTTTTCAGCCGAGTTTCCTTGTGGAGTCAGATAACTGTTCATCTCTGCCAAGCTGTCAGCCGTACTGTAGAAGTTTCTTAATAAAGTCACCTGTTCAGGTGTGTAGAGGCAGATGATCTGTTGAGAGTTCAAAGAAAACCACAAACAAGTCAAGTATGAACATTTGTCTGAAACTGCAGATAAAGTAAATGTCTTTCTGAAACAGGAAGTTTGTGGTCTGCTGCTTCCTCCTGCTGGTCACTGCATGAACTGCATCTATATATCATCAGTAACGGATATCACCCAATGTATTAGTCAGAGTCAGAGTTTCTTTATTGTCATTCGCACCTCATGTGGTACATGTGGTGGAGCGAAATTATGTACACAGGGTCCCAGTTACATCCAACAATAAAATGTATAAGAAAAACATCAACTAAATATACTCTAAGCACTCATAACATAAAAACATTGAACATCAGCACAAACATGAACATGAGTCTGTGAGCAGATGAGCACGCATGAACACATCAACATTGAAACAGATCAGCAGCAACATTGAAACAGATCAGCAGCAACATGAAACAGATCAGCAGCAACATGATATGGTTTTTCACAGTGATTATTCTGGTTAGAGATTCATGAGTCTAACAGCCTCAGGGTAGAAGCTGTTCCTCAGTCTAGTGGTTCTACACTTAATGCTCCTCAACCTCCTTCCTGAGGGGAGTGGGGCAAAAAGTGTGTGTGCTGGGTGAGTGGGGTCCTTCATGATGCAGGTAGCCCTCTTCCTGCATCTAGAGGTGTAGATGTCTGTGATGGTGGGGAGGCTGACTCCAACAAACTTCTGTGCAGCCTTCACCACTCTCTGCAAAGCTTTTCATTCTGCAGCTGTGCAGCCTCCATGCCACATGTTGATGCTGGAGCACAGGATGCTCTCCACTGCACACCTGTAGAAGGAGGTGAGGACTGAGCTTCCCAGACCAGCTCGCCTCAGCCGTCTGAGGAAGTAGAGTCTCTGATGAGCTTTCTTGATCAGGCTGGTGGTGTTGTTGCTCCAGCTGAGGTTGTCATTCATGTGTACACCCAAGTACTTGTAGCTGGAGACCACTTCCACCGCAGATCCTCTTATGTTCAGTGGGGTGTAGGTGTTTTTGTTCCTTCTGAAGTCCACAATCATCTTCTTTGTCTTCTTCACATTGATGTGAAGGTTATTCTCTTTGCTTAGCTCGTTAGCTCGTCTCCCTTCACATGCACATGAACTGAGCGGCATCCCATTCCTAATCCATAGGGTAAAATATGATGTTTGCAGCTATAACAGCTTCAACTGTTCTGGAAAGGCTTTCCACAGAATTTAGGAATGTGTTTTGGGGAATTTTTGACCATTCTTTAAAAAGTGTATTTGTGATGCACATCACTGATGTTTGAGGAGAAGTCCTGACTTTCTGTCTCTGCTCTAGTTCCTCCCAAAGGTGTTCTGTCCAGTTGAGGTCAGGGCTCTCATCCATGTCTTTATGGATGTTGCTTTGTTCACTGCTGCCATGTTGGAGCAGGAAAGAGTCGTCCCCAAATTTTTTTCACAAAGATGGGAGCTTGAAATGGTCTAAAATGTCATGATATGCTGAAGCTTTAACAATTCCTGTCACTGGAACTAAGCAGCCAAGCCTGAAAAACAACCCCGCACCATAATCCCCCCTCCACCAAACTTTACACTTGGCACAGTGCAGTTAGACAGACAGGTATTGTTCTCCTGGCAACTGCAAACCCAGACTCGTCCATCAGATTGCCAGTAAGAGAAGCGTGGTTCTTCTCTCCAGAGAACACGTCTCCTCTTCTCTAGAGTCCAGTGGAGGTGTGCTTTACACCACTGCATCCAACGCTTTGCATTGCACTTAATGATGGCTTGAATGCAGCTGCTCGGCCATGGAAACCCATTCCAGGAACCTCTCTACACACTGTGCTTAAGCTAATCTGAAGGCCACCTGAAGTTTGGTGGTCTGTATCTATCGACTTAAGCACCGCAGCCTCCACTGAGCCCGCTCTGTGATTTTACATGGCCGACCACTATGTGGCCGAGTTGCTGTCATTCCCGATCAGTTCCCTTATGCTGCAGCACTGCTAACAGTTGACTGTGGGATATTTATCAGTGAGGACATTTCATAATTGTACATATTGACAGGTGGTCTTCTGTCACAGTACCACACTAGAAGTGCTCCGATATAGAAAACTTTTTCTTCACAGTGAGACGGTCGCAGATTAGCCTTCTGCCGGGGGGCCTTCCTGTGTGGAGCGTTCTCCTTGTAGTTGTCTCTAGGTTGACCGGTTTTGTCCCACAGACCAAAAACTACAAGTTAGATTATTTGGCAACTCTCAAAATTGTCCCTGGGTGTGAGTGAGAAAGTGTGGTTTATTGTCTTAAGTAGAGAAACTGTTCAAATAATAAGAAGCCTTTCGGATGAAAGACGAAACGTTTCTACAATTTTTTTTCTTTTCTTTTAATGTCCAGAGGACCAGATTTAACTTTTTTAGATGTTCAAATAATCGTTTCAAAAACTATAAGCTTCTCATCCGACGAGCTTTCTCAATTCAAAGAAACCAGGAGTGTGGGATTCAAGCTGTGTTGCCAGATAGTTGAGGTTTTCCAGCCCAAAAATCCATTAAAACCACCACATCACACAAAAACACTCCCAATCAATATACTGTTAGTGAAAGTCAGAGTTTCTTTATTTGTCATACACATCACATGTGGTGGAATGAAATTGTGTACACAGGGTCCCAGTTATATCCAACAAAAGTATAAAATGTAAAAGAAAAACAGTAATAGCAATAGTAAACAGTAATAAGATCTAAGATATGAACTAAGAAAAACATTAAACTAAAAATACGATAGGCACTATTAGTACAAAAACAGTACACTGAACAGCAGTATATATATATATATATATATATATACACACACACATTATTTCCTGTTTGAACATGAACGCACATCAGTACAAGCCAAGGTAATTTAAAGATACGGTGAAACGGTGTTTGTTCATTACCTCACCTGTGTCTGTGTCTGTAGCCTTTCAGATCAGTCGCAAGGTCGAAGGTCCTGAAGGAAGTAGTATCTTTTGCATGTGTGACATGAGAAGCGGCACTTTGCTGACTGGAGGAGGAAAAGATAGAAAAATCACTCTGTGGGACCACGAACTGCGAGCGGACCGAGAAATTGAGGTAACGTTCACACAATCATACATGCACTCAATCACCAGGCCGCCAGTCATCACACTCATCAAAAGTCAGGAAAAATGTTCAGTTTCTGAGTAAACGCACGTCAGCAGACATTTTAATAATCTGCATTTAAAGATAAAATTTAAAAAAAGTCATGTAGGTGAAGACTTTAGTGTGAAATTGTGTGTGTACACAATTTCGTTCCACCACATGTACCACATGTGGTGCGTATGTGAATTAAAGAAACTTTGACTTTAAAAGTTGTAACAGGACAGATCTCAAAATGTTTGAAGCATCGTCACATTATTTGTTGACGTATTTAAAAATGTAAATCTGCCTGACTCGTCATGTGGACAAACGACCTACTTTAGTGTCACATGTGAACAACTTGTTGCACATGCTTAGATCTGTGTCGGCATCAACTTGCTGAGCGTGTTCAGCTGATTCTTTATTTATTGTTTATTTGACAGGGACAGATACAAGAAACATGGATCAAAACAATCTAACGCCTGCATCACAGTGTATATATCCTAAACTAATTCACAACATCTGTCCCTAGAAGGACCTTTAACAGTTGTTTTTATGAAAAGTTAAGATCAACAGTAAATACAATAAAATAATATTTAAAAAAAAAAAAAGGAATATAAAACAATGTACAGCCGTCCCTCGCTACTTCGTGGTTCGTTTATCACGAACTTGCTCTGTTGCGGTTTCTCAAAATAAGATTGGACATAACACACTGATTGATGGATGAGCTGCATGATCGGCATGGAATTTTTATTTAAAATTAATTATTTTAAATTATGTAGCACCTGCTGCACATTTGTGCGGAGAAGTGGGCGTGACCAAGAGCGCTTGCAGGTGGCAAAGTGCAGAAGAGGCAGGGAGCTGAAACGACATTCTGTGCTCTTTTAGAGCATTTAGAGTTTAGAAACATTGTTTAGAATATTGCAAGAGTGTGGGAAGGATTTACACACACTAAAATAAACTACTACTACTTTGTGATTTTTCACTTATCGCGGGTCTTCAGGATACAGATCCCCACGATAAACGAGGGACTGCTGTATTTAAAACTACCGAGTTAAAACAATTACCATATTTAAAAATGAGTACAATTCTGGTTCATCTTTAGTCAATTCTTAAACCTTGAAGTGAATATTTTAATTTCATTTTAATGTATTCTTCTTTGTTCCTGAAGGCAGATATGTGAGAATGGAAAGTGCTGTGTTGTCTGCCTGCCACAGTAACACAGAGGAAAGAGATTATGGACTCACTCAATCCTAAAGACAAATGCAGATTTAGTCAATTTAATAGTTAAATTCACGTAACTGGAGTTCTAAATAAACTGATAAATCTGTTTATCTGCAGGTTCCTGATAAGTACGGAGCCATCAGAGCTCTGTCAGAAGGAAAGGGGGAGGAGTTTTTGGTTGGGACGTCTCGTAACTTCATCCTGAGAGGAACTTTCAACGACGGCTTTCAGGTGGAGGTCCAGGTGAGATTACATGACATCAGAAGCAAACAGGTACCCACTGGATCTGGTCAGTTCTCAGTCCCTTCTTACTGGGATGCATTCAGGGACCAGGGTTTCTATATCTTTATATGTTCAGTTGTTTTTGCTACTTTTCCTCTCGAGGTTTTCTCTGTAAACTTCTGTACGATTCACATCCAAACCTGAACAAGCTGTAGTACACCCTGGCTGTGTGCAGGCCAAAAACATTATGTTAGAAGTCACCCACTGATGTGTTCAGGGACTCTGCATCTATTTGACATGTCTCTCTGAAATGCATTCAGGGACACACCGACGAGTTGTGGGGTTTGGCCACTCACCCATCCAAGCAGCAGTTTCTGACGTGCGCTCAGGACGGACTCGTCTCCCTCTGGAACTCCTTGGACCACAGCCTGCAGTGGAGCCGGCCCCTCGATGAGATTGTGTGTACATTTCTGACACGTGGCTGATCAGTAATTGATGATGGATTGGTTGACGGCTGTGTTTCTCTCTCAGGAACATGATTCAGGCCACTGTGCAGACTTCCATCCCAGTGGTGCTGTTGTTGCCATAGGAACCCACTCAGGAAGGTCCGTGATGTCTGTCGTTTGTTAATCTCTGAGTAAAGTGGTTTCTTCATGTTCTAATGTAGGGATGTGAAGGTTAACCAGTCGTCTAACTGGTGATCTAGTTAGTTTATAGATGGTCTGACAGGTTTAGCTATTTATTTGTGGTTCTGTTTAACCAGGAAGGTCCTACTGAGATGAGTTATGTTTTCTCAATGGAGACCTGAGAGTTGACACAGTGGAGGAAGCTGGGATTGTACTGCATTGAATTGTAGTTGTTTTGATGGCCTAACTGGTCTGACTGGTATGTGTTCCAGGTGGTTTGTTCTAGATGCAGAGACCACAGATCTGGTGGGGATCCACACAGATGGAAACGAGCAGCTTTCAGTGATGCGTTTCTCTGTCGGTGGGTGAAGCTATAACTTTAACTTCAAACGTCACTGCTGCTGACTACAGTTCCCATCATGCCTCTCTCTCTCTTTGTGCTTCTGCAGATGGCAGCATGCTGGCTGTCGGATCTCATGATAACTTCATTTACCTTTACACGGTTTCGGACCGAGGACGGAAGTACAGCCGATGTGGGAAGTGCACGGTGAGTTTTTAAAGCTACAAACGGAACCCTGGCCTCTGCTGACATCTGATTGGTTCAAGGGTTACAGCTGAGGTTGAGTTCACCTGTTGGGCTTTAGGTGATTGCTGAGATCTCCTAATGCTCTAACACAGGTCATATCTTTACTGAACATGTAATCAAGTTCTCCAGGCTGTAAAAGGAACATTCATTACCTTTTATATGGAGACAGCCATCTTGATCCACGCCGACTCCAAAAGTTAACAAGTTGTAGATGTCAATCAAATGAATACTTTCAGAAAGTGTTGTTAAAATCCATCGTGTCCTGAATATTTCCACAGGGGCATTCTAGCTACATCACACACCTGGACTGGTCACCTGACAACCACTACATCATGTCCAACTCTGGAGACTATGAGATCCTTTACTGTGAGTTCTCTGACCTTAACCATAACGCTCTGTAGTATTTGTGCATTATATTATATTATATGTACATTTTACTGAAGTATTTACACAGTTAGCTTTAGTTTTTCTGTTTCTCTCTAGTTGAGTAAAATTTACCATAATATTAGTACATTTTATTGTAATATTTCTTTGTTATTGCAGTGTTGATACATTTTATCATAGTTTTTGTACATTTTACTCTTATATCTGTACAGTTTTAATATTTGTATATTTTATTGTATATCTGTATTTTTTAAAGTGAATGCAGTGTTTCACCTAGTTTACTTGCCTTGGCAGGGCGCTCATATCTGAGGGGGGGTGGGAGGAGGAGACACGTCTGTGTTGCGAGATGTTTGTTCCGACAGTATTTGAGTGTGTGTGTGTGGGGGGGGGGTAGTTTGGAGACGACTCAACGTGAGGGAAACGGGGCGCTAACTGTAGCGTTTTAGCTAGCACGTCTATATTGCACACTGCTAGCTCATTGTTGACAGTTGTCGGTGTGGTGGGGGGGGAGTTCGGTAGGCAGGGCGCTCAGATATGTTGACAGGGCGTGACACCCTGCTTGTGTAGGAGAAACACTGGAATGTACTTTTATGTTAGTTTTTTTTATTTTTACATTTTATAGTAGTGTTTCTGTTTAAGGTACTTTTATACATTTTACTGCCGTATATGTACATTTTAAGTATTTGTACAGTTTAAGAGATAGAAAAGTTTACTGTTGTATTTTTTTTACTGCAGTTTCATTAAAAATGTCTGAAGCATTTCTTTGTTTTACAGTAGTATTTGTACTTTTTCTTTAGTTTTTCTTTGTATTTTTTTATAGTAGTACCTGTACTGTGAAGTAATGTTTGTGTGTTTTTAGGGGACGTTACAAACGGTTGTGAACTGATCCGAAATCGTTCAGAGTGTAAAGACATCGACTGGGCAACGTACACCTGTGTTCTGGGATTCCACGTCTTTGGTTAGTACATGTGAGAGTGTGCACGTAAGAATGTGCGTTGCTGTTTTTACCCAAGTTGTCTGCGCTGCTCAGAGGTTCTGATCCCTGGGTCTGGGTCTGTCTCAGGTGTTTGGCCCGAGGGTTCGGACGGCACCGACATCAACGCTCTGATGAGGTCCAACAACAGGAACGTGATTGCCCTGGCAGACGACTTCTGCAAAGTTCATCTGTTCGCCTACCCATGCTCCAAACCCAAGGTGGGTCTCGGTCCACTTCTAAACCTGAAACACACCCAGACTGCTCAGAACCTGAACCAAACAAGAACAACATGTTCTGGGTAAAATGGGTATATTTTATCACCCTTCATGACTTTGATATAAATGTATCCTGAAACTGTAAAAAATAAAACCAAGACTGTTTAAATATAAAAATAACTTTAAAGTGTCAGTGTTAACCTGTTGCTGCAGAAAGAAAAGGCAAACTGTTTTGTTGACAAATTCAAATGAAGAGATTTAGATGAAATACAACCAGTAGCACGTCTAGAACTGACGGGACTGATTTAAAACTGATTCGAGACAGATCTCGGGACCAACGTGAGACCGATCAAAGGGAAACTCAGAACAGAGGTTTGACTTATGCCTCAGGGCAAATATCCACCTTATTCCTAGCCCCCGTGCAGCCTTGCTCGAATTATGGCCACAATTTCCGGCGCAGACCAAAACCAGCATTTATTTTTGTGTAAACAGTACGAGCTACTGTAGTTTCTCCTTTGCATTGTGGATTTAATTTAAACATGTAGGAACACCACCTGTCAGAGCTCAAACATGACGATATAATCAAAGTGCTGCCTGCTGATGGAGGACGACCTGAAGAAGTGTCCACAGATTACATCTACTAGCATATTTAGCTACTTCACTGACTCGGTTCTTCTGACAATGAAGCGATGATCAACCTGAAAAGCTCTGAGGTGTATCAGTATCTACACAGTAATAAGGTCAGTTGTGTTTTGTTAAAAGTGGTGGGACACAATCTTATTTACCTTAAAGCAACACAGAGCCCAGACAAAGTCTTAAAGTCCTCCATCACTGAGCTTGGGTTAATTGCAGAGAAACTCGTAAAACTGAAGACGAACAAATACAATGATGCTGTGCCCTTCATACACTGGAAATCATCCCTGATATTCTCATCACTGTTTTCAATCCTTCTGAGGATCCGGCTTCTCTTCTCTGGTGGTTTATTGTAGCCCAGCCACAAAGTAGGAAGCAGGTTTTCCTCCGTACACACCAGGTACCTGAACTCCGCACGGTTATTTTAGTAAACTTTATGGTTGTTAAATAAATGTAAACAAAACAAAAACACTTTTATCTGCTAAACTGAATGTAAATTACTTTCAAATACGCCGTAGTCCGTGCTCCGCTACCATGGTGAACCAACGCTTACTGCTACTTCCTGTGTCTGACAGGAAGTTGTTCCTATAACCATTTATTCAGTATAGCTCAGAGGAATAAGGTGGATAGGTCTGAGTCAGGACAGATTAAAAATAAACGGGGGACAGATTGAGGTTTGACCTGTATCAGAATGAGAACTAGCTCAGGACAGAACAAGGACTAACCTAAAACAGATCAGGAAATAACTAGGTTAGTCCTGTACTTGGTTGGTTTTAGGGCTGACTTGGGACAGATCAAGGACTGACTCATGACTCGAGATAGATCAAGTAGGTAGATCAATAGATCAAGACCCAGGATGATTAAAGACTGATGACCCTTTTTAACTGCGCTCACAGACATCTTTAGAAAGATGATGGAGTACCAGTTCTTCAAATGGCTCCCCCCATCCTGGAAAGATTGAGCGCCATAGGATCAGGGTGCAGATGGCATCAAAATCTAAACTGTTGCATAATTGTGTGTCTGCAGGCCCCCAGTCGGAAATACAGCGCTCACAGCAGTCATGTGACCAATGTCAGCTTCCTGTTTAACGACACCCATCTAATCTCAACGGGGGGGAAGGATACCAGCATCATGCAGTGGCGAATGGTGAAAAAATCTTCTCCGTCTCTGTCTGATGGCATCATCTCTAACCCCGTCCCTCGCAAGGCTGATCCCGTCATTGCCAAGCAGCCTCCTCCATCAACCACACCCACACAGGAACCAAACCCTCCCCTAACTGCCAATGGGACCCAGGAACCATTCATCGAAATCTCTGCCCCCACAGAGTTAATCCTGTCTACCTCTGAGCTGACCCCGCCCCTCTCTGAGTCGACTCCTCCCCCCTCCGACAGTACAGTGAGTCTGAAGGACAGCCTTGAGCCAAGTGATGACACGGCCACCCCTAGTGATGAGGGCCTGCCCCCCCTGACCCCACCCTCTTAGAACCAGTCACTGTGTATTCCTGTGCAGCGGTCTCTGTGTGGGACCAGGTCCTCTCTCGATGGGGACTAGGTTCTGTTTCTGTGGAGACCAGGTTCTGATTTCCACCATCATTTGGACACTGAGGGAAGTGAGGACATCTGGTGGGTCCTGATCTCAGCTGCAGACTGTTTTAAGGTTAAATTTCAGATCAGTTCAGGACTGCAGTCAGAAATGTGATGATGATGATGTCCAACTATGATTCATCTGTTTAGAAACAAGGAAAGAACTCAGCAGAAACCAGTCCAGAACTCTCCTGTTTGAAGTTTTCCAGGGTTACAGAAAGTTCGTACTGCTTGTCTGCTCTAACCCTGACCATGAGTGAAACACTGTAAACAGGACCTGCTCATTCTAAAGGGACAGTTCACCAAAACTGAAGCAAACAATCAGACTGACCAGTGGGAGGTGGCTAACAAATGCTATATGCTAACAGGTTCTCAGTCGTAGAAAATAGTGTGGCACAGAGATTCTAGGAGCAGGGAGAGTACCAGTTTCATCCACCATCACCTACTCGATTTTTCCAGCTGTTTTCTCCTGTCTTTCATAGGAGGCAGCAGAGGGCCAAAAACACCAGAATGAGAAGAATAAAAGTTAGATCCTACCAAACCAATAAAATGAGATCAGATAGTCCTGAGAAAATGAGTGTGACTGGGGGCAATGTTCCACCACCAGTAAAAGAAAAGAGTTTATCAGGAAGAGTCTTTGTTAGAGAATAACTCAAATCCATGATTTTTACACATTTCCAAGTTGTATTTGCACAAAAACAAAAATCATTTCATTTATTTTGTAGGTAAAGGACTTGAGCAACAATTAAAAAAAAAAATTTTTTGTAAATTGATCAATTTGTTCAATCAAATATACCATGCATATTTCATAACTAAAATTATTTTGTAAAGGAAATGTATTAAAAAAAGATTGATCTAGATTAGATTTTTTTTTATCTAAGGGAGCAGAGAGTAATAACCATAGAGACTTAAACAAAAACATGTCAGTTCCACTCTGGGAAAAAGTCAAATATAAAAATTAAGAATCATGTTGTTTAAAGACATCAGCTTTGTTAATTCCAGTTTGGTTCAAGATATTTGATTTTCAAAGCCTTTCATTTGAAACATCACGCTGATGAGAAGAGAAGGAAGAAAAGTAGTGTGACATGTTGATACTTCAGAGTGAAAGAGATGAGAGATCAGAGTGAAACATCTGAGATTTGATCTGATCAAAGTGAGGCGTCTCTGGATCAGTAGAGTTGCACTCGGGTCCAAATCCAAACCGACCCGGCCCCAGCCCGCTGCCATCATCTCCGAACCCCACCCGATCTGACGAATTAACTGCAATTACAGGTCCAAACCCGAAATACCCCCCCCCCCCCCCAACACACACACACACACTTTTAATTCGTCTTTGACTGTTTATACCACCGACTATTAACGGTTGGCGGACGTGAGCGGTTGAGTAAAGAGGTCAGCCCAGAAGATAGGAGCTGAGGAGCCATCAAAGCGCATTAAATGCTTCCCCTGCTTCTGCCTGCTCTGACATGTCAGATATTTTGTGATCTCACCTGTTTAGGCCGTCGGCCGTGTGCGTCCGCTGAGTGCAGCGGCTGAATGAACGTCCATTTAGACTGATGGATCGTTGACAAAAGTCCATCTGAAGCTTAACTGAACTTTTTACCTCTTTCAACCGGCCGGTCAGCGTGCGGTCAAATGGCCGCATGCAGCTGCTGTAGTATGGCAAGCCATGTTTGCATATATTGGATCCTCGGCCGCGCGCCCCTGATGCAATAAAAAGCCTGACACCAACCTGGCCCACACATTAAGCACATTATTATGGCCCGGTCCGAATCCAGGTCGGGCGGGGCTCCGGGTTTGGGTTAGAAATGACATCTCTAGATCAGAGTGAGGTCTCTGATCAGTGAGACCTCTCTTTAGTCAGAGTGAGACCTCTCTTTGATCAGAGTAAAACATCTCTTTGATCAGCAGAATTTTGTATATTCTGAAGACTCTTGCGTGTATATTTTGCTTCCATTAGTGAGCAGCAGCACCGTAAAAAATAAACTTTCAGCCACGATCGTGTTCAACTTGAATCTCCTATCAGATGAAGTGACAGGAAACATGTGATCCTCCACTGTGATTGGCTGCTCTCTCAGTGACCTCTTAAATAATCGCTGGTGATGTTTTTAGGTTTTTTTTCTGGCTCATTTTCAATTCAGAACGTGTTTGAACATGAGTATGTCACTCCAAGGGCGGGGCCTCTCTGGGACGGTTTTTATGTTGCCTTTTTAATACTCGTTTTTCTTCATCTTTTTACACTCATCTCTAAAGGGCTTGTGCATAGTTCAGGGACTCGCCTGAATGTTCAGGTAGGGGGGGGGGGGGGGGGGGTACTTCTTTGGAGTTTCTGAATTTAAGTGTTTATCAGTGGCCATTTGATACTTATGATGATTATATTTTGTGACTGTTTTGAGCCAATCATGTTTTTCATGCATTCCTGTCAGACGACAGATTTTACTGAAGATTGAAGCAAAAAAATGCAAATAAATGTTATGAAAGTGACAACCAATCAGATTGCTTTGTTTGAGTTGTAATTGTTGCAGTGTCTTTATTGCTTTTCTGAATCGTAAAAGAGTACTGGCTTTATTTTGCAAACTGTTGCTATACAAGTTAATGAATAAAAATTTTATCTGAAGAAATGAAAAGTAAAATCCATGTTTGATTATGTCAACAATATGCTAATCACATCTCTAGCTTGACATTAGGAATGAAATGCAGCTTCAGGCAGGTTAGTTTAACAAAAAAAAAAAATATATATATATATATGTGTATATATGTATATATA